GAAGGCATTAAAAAATAAGGTGTGACTCATGAGGTAGAGTGGATCATCCTCTTACTGTAGGGTTGGCTTGAATGGATGAACGGGAAAGAGCGAAAAATGCTTTGAGTGCGCTACAATGTGCAGAAAGGTGCTATGCGAGTAAAAGACCATTTAACCATTTTCACTTTTCCAAATGTCTTAAAATTTTCCATTTTAAAAATGTCTCATTTTCCATTTGGAAATTGTCTCATTTTTATTTTAAGTGCATGTGTGTAAATTAGAAGACGTGGTCTGAAAAGTGGCAGCGTGTTGATTGGTCCAGCAGTCTGAGGATTGGCTCTGACTACGCTGGCTACATCTCCCCATAAAATGTGTTAAACCACATGACCAAGTACAGGTAATGTTAGTCATAAGTGCAGTATCTGGTAACACAACACATGGGCACAGATTAAGTCTGCAGCATCAAACTGTCTACACCTTCGATTCTGTACTTCACTGAAGTTGGAAATATATTCACAGATTCAACGTTTCCATGTCAATAAGAAGAAGAAGCAGCTTTATTTTACTGTCATTGTAACACTGTGACACATACAACGAAATTTTGTTTGGAGCCGAGGGCCCCGGGCCTCTGCGTGCATACGCGCTGCCATCACGGATAACTTGGGGGGTTAAGTGTCTTGCCCAAGGACACTTTGACATGTGGACTGCAGGCACCGAGATTCAAACCTTTAACCTTCCGGTTGGGAGACGACTGCTCTACCCACCGCACCACTGTTGCCCCCAATAACTCATAAGCAAAACATTGTTACAAGTCAAACAACATTTCTTTAGTATTGTAGTAAGATAGACAACAAGCTACAACCTCATTTTTATCAAAATGAGCCATCCTACATTGCAGGCAAATGACATTATTCTTTATGTGCAGCCAGCTGTTGGATGAGTGTGCAGGGACCGTCTACAAAGTACAACACCGAAAAGAGTTCCTACTAAAAAATTCTGTAACTCTACTCTTATACACTGTAGTGACACCAGAATTACCCTGCACTTCAGTGGTCATGTGATGATTATCCTACAACAATGATGTTTGGATAATTTTAGTAAATTTTTATTGGGAAAAATATTCAATAAAACCCCTCTTATACCCTGTCATGTCACTAAAATCACATTACATATCAAAGGCCATCAGCTGGTTATAATACAACACTTAGTTTGGAAAAACATACTTTTCTGTTAATTTTGGCAAATTTTCATTAGGAAAAATATCCAGTAACTTCACTCGTATACACTGGAGTGTCACCAAAATCACTTCACACATCCATCCATCGATCCATCCATTTTCTTCCGCTTATCCGGGACCGGGTCGTGGGGGCAGCAGTCTCAGCAAAGATGCCCAGACTTCCCTCTCTCCAGACACTTCCTCCAGCTCCTCCGGGGAAATGCCGAGGCGTTCACAGGCCAGCCGA